ATAATACTGAATCAAGTTCAGAATAATAATTAAATGTTGAGTCACCCACAATTTGTAATTTTAAGTTACGGGAATCAAGGGGTTGATCCATCTCTTCTTGGAAGAGTAAGGGAGGCAGCCATTCTCAAGTGGTTTCTTTCTGTTTTATAAATGCCCTTTTTCCCTTGAAAGGCAATTTGTAAGTTGGTCTGGACTGCATAGCTAGTGCTGGCAATCATAAGTAGACAGAGGAAGAATCTCTCAAATGTGAAAATAAAGTGACGGCCTAAAACTGGTCATCTCTATTATCTTAGATATTAAAGATAACCAAGAAAAAAATAGGAATTTGTTCTTTAGGGGAAAGCCTGTAACCTTGAATGATTTTCCCATAACACTAATCATAAACCATATTTATTTAGTACTTGGTAAGTGTTTCATATTAAGGACATTATGTGCCATAGGGCCATTTGTTTCCTATAACATTATCATCCTGTTTTACAGACAAATCAAATGGAGCTAGAAACCTAGCAAGTATCATAAAGCTAAGAAGTGGAGAGCAGGAGTTACACTTAGATCTTTCTGTTCTCAGTTCTTCTGTTCTTTCCAATGTAAAGCACATCTGGAAAGGAGATTTGCTTTGTGTAGAAAAGAAAACACTTCTTAAAATGTGGATGGGGTAAAACCTAAGCCTGGCTACTGATAAAGTTTTGTTAGAGGTAAGGGGAACTTCAAAGACAATATGATGCTGTCTTCTAACTTTTAAAGTGAGGAAGCTGAGACCCAGAGATGGTGACTTGCAAGTGGTCCTGAAGAAGATCTGCTGTCTCCAGCAATTGTGAATGGGTGACTCTTGTCTGCCACTTTTGGCTAGCCTAGGCAAAATTTCCAGCAACTTCAGATCACCAGCTGGGCTGTCCCTGGGACTACCTAAACTTCATATGGTGTTTCAGATTTTAAGTGACCTGAAATGACAAGAAAACAAGAATTTAAGGCACAAGTGGGCAGTAGCATAAGAGTGTGTGATTAGATGTCCTATGTGTCTATGCAGTTTTGGCCAACTGTGCAAACTCTCAGGAAGAATCTACAAGTGAAATCAGAACAACAGTCAACAAATGGGAATTCTCCTTAAGGTGAAAGATTTCCTGATTTAAAGATTTTATCTCTTCCTCTGCAGTCAGAGAGGCCCCTGTAATGAAAAAATATTGCTTCAAGAATGTATGGCTGAAGCTTGTATGAAAGTATCCAGGGTGCACATAGATTGTAAGTAACTAATTATCCTCTAGACCTGTGCCATCAAGGATAAGTGGCATCAATTGAAATTAAATCTAATTAAAATTCAATTGTGTTGCAACAGTCACCTTTCAAGTGTTCAACAACCACGTATAACTAGTGGTTATCATTTTAGATTGGGCAGAAGTAGAATATTATTATCATCAGAGAAAATTTTGTTGAACAGCAATACTCTAGTCTGTATAAATGTTCATAACTAGAAGTGAGACTTTATTATTCATTCAAAGGAGAGTCTTCTTTGAGAAGAGCTTCACAGAGGAAGTGGCAACCGAGATTACTTGCAAAACAATTCTAAATTAGTCATGAAAATGTTGGGGTGAATTAAGGCAGGAGTCAGAAGCTGTGACAGCCATCCAAGACCAGGACATAGAAATTGGCTTGTAGAATGTTAGTAATGTTGCAGCTCTGAAGGGTAAGATGCATGAAGGGGCATGATAGGAAGTATGACTAAATAGATGACCTGGTGAGCTACTAAAGAACTCTGCATATTGTTATAAGGAGTTTGAATTTTCATGCTGGGCAGGAAGGAGAACTATTCAAGGATTCTCTGTAGAGATCGCCTGGGAATAACTTGGCCAGATTTTGCAAAAATTACTCTTGAAATGGGTGAGAATGAGGATGAAAGGGATACTTTGGGAGAAAATAAACAAAAAAGCAGGCTGAAAAAGCTATTGTATTTACCCCCATGTTTATTGCAGCACTATTCACAATAGCAAAGATATACAATCAACCAGTGCTCATCAAAGATGACTGCACAAAGAAAATGTGATATATATATATGTATATGTATATATAATTACCCAATAGAATACTATTTGACTATAAAAAAAGAATGAAGTCATGCCATTTGAAGCAACATGGATGGAACTGGACATTATTATGTTGAGTGAAATAAGCCAGATGGCAGAAAAGCAAATATTGCATATTCTCATTCATATGTGGGAGCTTAAAAAAATTGATCTCATGGAGGTGGTTATTCCTTCAGAGATCTCCATAAACAATTTCTTAGGCTTTTTACCATGGGTAACCAATTTAAGAACATTTATACCAAACACTCAAATCTTCATTGACACAGAAAGAAGACCTGTAGAGAGCCTTAAGCCTTGACCACTGGGAAGCTTTGGCCACTTGGCTATTCCAAAATTAAGCGATAAAAAGTGATAAAGAGATAAGTAACATGTTCTGCAATTATACAGGCAGTAGGAAAAATAAAAAATAAAAATAAAATAAGTGATGAATAACCTTACTGTTGTCATCAAGATGTTAACCAAGAACTGTCAAAACATGCTTATGTAACATTATAATAATTAGAAATAACAAAAAATGAGTATTTTCTGAATACCCGATATATTAGCTATTGTGTTAGCCCATTCTCACTCTGCTAGTGAAGATACACCTGAGACTGGGTAATTTATAAAGGAAAGTGGTTTAATTGACTCACAGTTCAGCATGGCTGGGGAGGCCTCAAGAAACTTACAGTCATGGTGGAAAGGGAAACAAACACATCCTTCTTCACAGGGTGGCAGGAAGGAGAACGAGTGCTCAGGGAAGGGGGAAGCCCCTTATACAACCATCAGATCTTGTGAGAACTAACTCACTACTCGTGGAAACCACCCCCGTGATTCAATTGTCTCCATTATGGGCAATACCATTCGAGATGAGGTTTGGGTGAGGACATAGCCAAACCATAAAAGCTATTATTACTTTTTTTAAGTTTTCACTATGTATGGGAGACCAGGCACTGTGCTAATCTCAAAAGTGCTTTATACATTTATTTTCTAAGTATTATTAACTCTATAAAAAATGGAGAAATCTAAGAAAGAAAGGGTAAAAGCATCCTGACTTTATCCACATATTCAGTAAAGGAAAAACCCAGGCTCTGAATACCAGCTGCCTCACCCCAAAGCACTTGTGTATGACTTTTATGTGTCATAATTTCATGTACTCTTCATAAGAATCCTGAAGATAAACATCATTAGAATCACCTTGCAGATCATGAACCAAAGCTCTGATAAGTCAAATAAATTGTCCAGTATCACACAGCCCGTAAATAGCCAAACTGACTTTCCAATTTAGATCATTGATTCAAGGTCTATTTTCTTTCCACTTTCTTCTAGTGTTTCATCTTCATGAACTGTCATAGACTTTATTGATAGTGAAGACAGAGAAATTTGGGGCTGGTCAGGACCCAAAAGATGATCACATCCTTCTCCCTGGTTCCTGGCAAGACAGGAACTCTACCTGCTTAGTATCAAGCTGAAGAGCGTTCTTTTATAAATAGCATTGATATTTCTACATTATTATAGTCTTACATACTTATTGAAGCAAAGCAGGAAAGTAGAGAAACAACTTAAAATATCTAAAATTTTATTTATTAATATTCTTCTTAAAAAGGAAATATATCTTTTTGCTTATAGCCCATCTCATATAAAATGACAGTTCCCATATCTTTAAATATTTTTCTACATGATGATTTTAAAAACAGCTTTGAGTCCCATTAAATGATAAACCATAATGTATTGAAGCAATTTAGATTTTTGCCAGTTAGGTTATCATCCTTGGCTAATGTCTGTGGTTATTTTCTTATGACCAACTCCAACAAATTGAATTTTGAGACAGGGGCAACAGAATTTTAATGTTTTTGATATATAGTGCCACATTGCCTTACAAAAAATGTATGCCCGTTGGTGCTCCTAGCAATAGAGTGTGAATGTTTTCATTTTGTGTATTCTTGCCAATTTGATTAGCAAAAAATGGCATCTCTTTGCTGTTTTAAATAGATTTTGGTTTCAACTGTGGCAGGCTGAATCATGCTTACCCCCCAAAACTGACTATGTCCTAATTTCTGGAACTTGTGAATGTTACTTTATATAGTAAAAACAATTTTATAGATATGATTGAATTAAGGATTTTTAGATGGGAAGGTTATTCTGGATGATCTTGGTGGGCCCAATGTAATTCTGGAGTCCTTATAAGGGGAAAACAGGAGGGCAAGAGTTATAGAGAGAAGATGTGAGGATGGAAGCAGAGATAAGAGATGAGAGAAGATACTATGCTGTTGCTTTGCAATTGGAGGAAGGGGTCATGAACCAAGGAATGTGGACATCTCTAGAAGCTGAAAAGGCAAGCCACAGATTCCCAAAGAACCTCCAGAAGGAACACATCTGTATTAGTCAATTTTCATGCTGTTAATAAAGGCATACCCAAGACTGGGTAATTTATACAGGAAAAGGTTTAATGGACTCATTTCCAAATGGCTGGGTAAGCCTTACAATCCTGGTGGAAGGCAAGGAGCAAGTCACAGCTCTGCAGCAGGCAAAGAGAGAGGTTGTGCAGGGAAACTCCCCCTTATAAAACTATCAGGTCTCATGAGACTTATTCACTACCATGAGAACAGCATGGGAAAGACCCACCACAATGACTCAGTTACCTCCCACAGGGTCCCTCCCACAATGTGTGGGAATTGTGGAAGCTACAGTTCAAGATGAGATTTGGGTGGGGACATAGCCAAACCATATCAACATCCTTGCTGACCCATTTTAAATTCTGACTTCCAGAACTCTAAGATTATACATTTATACTGTTGTAATCCACTGTATTTGTGACAACTTGCTCCACCATTCTTTCTTCTTATTTTTATGTTTTCCCCTTGGCCCTTAGCTTATTTTTTATATTGTTGATCTTACTTTTTACCTATGGCTTTTTCTTTTTCTTTTTTTTTTTTTTTTCAGTCCCCATAGGGACTGCCAAAAGTTGCCAATGACAACTATATTTCAAATTATCTTGGTGGGGTATTGGGAAAAGTTTTCAATTAGCAATAATTGCATCTCACATAAACCTAATTGGCTACGATACTGCCACTGCACAAAGCTTACCTATGGCTTTTTAAAGGCTCTTTCTATATTAAGACTATTAGCCATTCTTCAGTCACATTGCCAATATTTTCTCCAATTGTTTGTCTTGTAACTTTTTTCAGTCTTTTGTATGTAGTCTTTTCCCCCCATAGGATATAGAAATGAGAATCATTATAACCTGTAGTATTAGAAAGTCTTGGACTTAAGTTTCAGCTCTAATTTTAGACAAGTTGTTTTATCTCACTGAGCTTTAATTTTCCTATATGTACATTGGGAAAATAATAATATCAGCCTTATAAAAATAATTGTAATGATTAAATGAAATAATACCTGTAAAGAGTTATGACTGTGTCTCATATTTAGTAAGTAATCAATACATATTAAATATTCATTTTAACTATGATTTTATTGGCATCTTTTATTTTCTGGTTTCTTCCCTTTGAAATTGTTTTTTATCTACATAATAGTACATGTTTACAGGGTACATGTGATATTTTGAAACGAGCATACAATGTGTCATGATCAATTCAGGGTAATTGGGCTATCCATCACCTCAAACAGTTATCATTTCTATGTTTTGGGAACATTCTAAAACTTCTCTAGCTATTTTGAAATATATAATACATTATTGACAAATATAGTTGTCTTACTATGCTATTAAACACCAGAACTTATTCCTTCTATCTAATTGTATGTACCGATTAACCAACCTCTCCTCATTCCAGTCTCCCCCTACCCTTCCCAGCCTCTGGTGATCACAATTCTACTCATTATCTCCATGAGATCAACATTTTTACGCCCTACATATGAGTGAGAATATGTAGTATTTGCCTTTCTGCACTTGCCTTATTTCATGCATGATAATGTCCTTAATTTCCATCCATGACACTGCAAGTAACAAGATTTCATTCTTTCTTATGGCTAATATGGTTTCTTTCTCTGCTGAAGGACTTGCGGTAGGAAGTTTTGCATTTTATCTTGGATCCGTTCAATGGCTCCAAATTTCATATAGTTAGGAGCTTGCCTTTTTCAGTCTCAATCAAATTAGTCCCAGGACAAATTACTGCCATTTTCTTGTCTCTCAGACATTAAAGGAGAGTAGCAAGTCACTTCAGTCTGACCCATGATGAACTTGATGACCTGTCATTAGAGTTAGCTGGGAAGCCTGGTTGCTGATGGATGCTTTGCTCTTTCACTCTTTAATTGGTGTTTGAGGAAGAAAGAGGCAAAAGGAAGTCTTTCCCCATCACTCTCTCAGTTGATTCTACAGAAGATCATTTCTATTTTGATCTCAGTAATGGCAGATGATGAAACTGCCAATAAGTTCCAGGCTTATCTAACAGCTGGCTCAAAGGTAATAATGTGTATAAATGTGAGCTCTAATCCAAGCTTTTTTGCAAAATGAAACTGTCTAGAAGTCAAACATCTGTTAAAAGAACGCAGAATTCTAGGCAAAATGTATCCAGAAGCAACTTGTATAACATGCTAGTGCTAGTGCTTTTTGTTCTCATGATTTTTTTTTTTTTTCAAATGAGTTTGCTCTTTGAAGTGGTGGGGGTGGGTAGACAAAAGTAGAAATGTCTTTTTAAAATACTCCAAGTACATTGAGTTTTCTTCTCTTTGATTTTGGATCAACATTGATTTGGCAGAATTTGGAAACAGATTTCTTTTTTCTAAGAGCAAAAAGAACTTTAGTCCAAAGTGTTTTATTTCCTCTATCAGCAGAATTCTGAGGTCATTATTACAGAAAATGACAATTTGGTTCATAAGGGAGCAGATCATTTTTTGTTGTTGTTCAAAGTTCTGACTATCAGATTATATGCTCTGTGATTGCAGGGATGCCTGTATTCTCTGTCCTAGTGTCAGAATTCTCACAAATGAACAAACAAAACAAAACAAACAAATACAAGATTATAAATAGGTTTGCTTATAACTACTGTCCCTTTGTTTTGAAGTGACAATAATTATTACTTCATCTCAAGTTATCTATTTAGGAGCATCTGCTGAATGTCTAATATCCCAAAAGTTGTGAGTATAGGAGAGAAAATAAAGCAGATTGCTCTTTGACATTATGGTACTTGGTATGCTGTATGTTTAACAGGCAAGAGCAACCTTGGCCATCTACATGCTATGGAAGATAGTCCAGATTCATGTAATATCATCTGGAAGATATTCCATCTGAAGATATTCAAGATGATATTACATGAATCTGGAATATCTTCTCTACCCAATTGCTTAGAATGTACTTGGTAATCCATCCTACTGACTAGCATGTTATTCCATTCAAATGCCTTTCATTAGCCCAGAATCCCAATTGTCCAGCACTCCCTCCCCTCTCCTGATCCAACAGAGATGCCAAGCTTTTCCCGTCTATGTCACCTGTCTCTCCCCAAGGAGTACTGCCTTCCAACAGGGCCACTTCTTGTCTTTCACGCTCTCAAGCTCTCTTCCTTTTGAAGCTGTAGTGCCAGAATTCTGATCCCTCAGTTGTCAGGATTGTTCTCTGTTTTCCCACTCAGGATGGGTTCCTCTCTTGCTGTGAGTGATGTTATCTGGTTTCTTTTGCCACTTGGATCCATCACACTTTCTTCTTTATCACATAGCCCTCACTAGGCATGACTCAAGATCTTCCACCGCTGGTTTTAATGGATTATTTACCTAGTTAGATGAACATTAGAGTTGGTAGCATTTCTGTTTTCTAGTTATGCTAGAGGCATGAACTATGGTAGATTTTGGTTGCTGTGCTTGTTGACCTACCTGGTGTTTTGTGGATGTATAGAGAGATTTGAATTTATGTCTACACTGTTATCCTGGGGTATGTTTTTAACTGAATGAAAATAAAACAGAATCTCTCCTTTGCTACTGTTAAACTAGGACAGTTCACCATACCCTTTTTGCAGATCTTACAAAGATCCTTATAAAATTGCATGCAAATGTTTTAGTCCTGTAACATGGTTTATAGATCTGAGATGCATTGCCCATATCCAGTTATAAGGAGAAAAGCAAATCAGCCTTAATACAGAGGTTCTTCTCTCCCCTAGCCCTACAGACATTCTCAGTGGAATCACTTATGGCTCTCCAAAAATATTCTCGAAAGTTTGATGGTTATAAAACTCAATAACCAATAACCTCCTTAGACCCAGGCAACATGTTTCTTCTGAGTTTTGAACTTTAGAGGGTCCTACATCACACACACACACACACACACACACACACACACACACACACACACACAGACATACACACTTTATTAAAGAATACACAGAATTCTTTGTCATTTAAGATCTAGCATTTGGTACTGGCACAGTATGACCAATAATCCTAAACATCTACTCTTTTAATTAACATTGCTCAAGTCCAGAGAAAAGCTCCTCTATATTGCTTGCTGTATGTCCACAAAAGAAACTATGTCCAAAGGCCATGAAGATTTGTGGATTGCACCGCTGCTAACATCAGAGATGGACACTGCTTTGGAGTGCAGGGAGAATTGGAGTGGTAGAAGAGCCTAATTTTAGAGGAAAGACAAATCAATTAATTAATCAAATAATATGACATATTATGTAATATGAATACTAGATTTTTACCTAACAAAATATAATTTCCCAAAAGTGTCAACTATTCATTTTCTTGCTTCTCTTAATGTTTTAATTTGTGATTCCAGAGAAACTCCTAAATTAGTGCAGGATTTGCAAGGATTAGCCAAAAACTATTTTATTATATTAAAAAATCCATATGACTCTTAAATTTGCATATATGTAAATAACATGCATGATGTATGATACTAATGTTTACAATACTGACTAGATAGGTCCCAAATACTACATTTCCAAATAATTTTATTTTTGCAAAAATACTTTTAATTTTTATAGTTTATTGTATAATTTTGAAGTTTTAGAAGAAAAATTACTTAAAAATATATTCAATTTTTAAATATCAATTTATTTTTTATATCTTGCATATAATTTTATTTTTTAGATGAAAATACACTGAAACTTGAATACTTTGAATACAATTACATTTTATGTTTTACTCCTTTAGTCCATGCTCAGTCTTCTTAGATATTTGGTCAATTCTTAGTCTTATGGCAGACCATGACTTAATGCATTTTTTATCTTGTCATTACAAAGGTCTATTTGTCAAAGTTGAGGAATAAAATATAAATAAAGCGTCATTTTTTACTATTGCCCCGGCCCTGAAAATATAAGGGCAGATTTTCCTACAGTCTTTCTTGGTAACTTGCTGTTATCATTCTGTTATTTGAAATTTTTTTCTTGTATCAAACAGAAGTTTTCCTTACTTTATCTTAAGCCATTTCTTTTTATATTTCAGATTACACACACACATCCATTTATATACATGCGGTAAACATTATCAGATGGGATTTTTAAAAGCATGTCTTACAATTTTCCCTGAAAATGATAATTTAGAATTGTGATTTTTTTCTCACATTTTTGTGATTGATTTCTCAGGCCTTATCTCCCTACCATATACAGAGATGTGTACCTGTTTCTTAAAGGTGAATGAGAACTCCATGATGCTGTTATTATTAATAGAATAGCATTGAAAATATGCATCCGAAAAGGAAACAAAACAGAAATGTACTGCAAATACATTTTTCAGGTCATCTTAATTTTTCTGCAGTTAGCCTAAACTCAAATTGTATTTGGCTTGTGTATTACTAGTGACTGTGAGGAAAGCAAGTAAGCTTAGCTGGCTTAGAAGTTTGGATTCTGTCTTCTAAGGATTCTGTCATGCTGGCTGGAGGCTTAGTTGCTCATCTATAAAATATAGAGCTTCTGCTTCCAACCTACTACCTATTTCACAGACATGCAGTAATGTTTTAATGAAAAGTACTTTGAGCTCTTTTGGGGAAAAAAAAAAGATGCTCTCTGTAAACAGAGAATTGGTATCAAAATGTTCTTTTCATTAGGTCTTTGGATCTCCTTATGAAAGTCCAGGCTACCTAATGGATGGGGATTTATAGACGGCCATTTGTAAAAACATATCCAAGCACACTC